ATAATCATTCTCCATTTTCATGCAACTTTTCTAATATGGAGATTATCAAAGAAAAAATGGACGGATTGATAAGTACATGGACTTTTAAATGTCAAATGTGGAATATTGAAAAGGATATCTTATAAGTTAAATAAAAGCTTTTAAAAACGGTTGTAATATAAATAATAAATACTAAAGCAGTGCAATTTGCTCTCCTTTTCCTTGACATAGGACGTTTACTGGGACTTATTTTTTATCTTGTCTCTTATAACTTATATCACTAACCTAATGTAATACTTAAAACTACGCGTAAACTAAAGAACTTTTAACTTATACCACTAAACTAATAATATATTACTTAACATACACGTAGACTAAATAATTTCAATGTTTTCAAAATAAATAAGAATACTGTAAACTGTAAAAACTAAGCAAGTTGATAAAGAAAATACAAGAATGAAAGAACTAAAATGTATTCTAATTCAAGCAAACTAACTGACCGTACCCATAGAGAAATAAAAATAAGACCGTACCGTACGCTCATGAGATTTGACGTCACTAATGCGATAACGATCAAGCTCAGCGACAATGATGAAGAACACGTTTCACTATTAGATTTCAGTATTTTTTAGCAATTTTCTTCAAAGTTTGAATACGCTTTTCTCGATTATTACTGGACACAGAAAGGTGAAAAAAGAATCAACGATTACAGAAAAAAAAAACTCTTTCAACTGATGGGCGTGAAAAGTTTGGTTATAATAGAACGTTAAACAGTATAATCCAATTTTTCAACAGAAAATTCAAAAAAATAAAAAAAGTAAAACCATCAGTTTAAAGGCAACATAATTTCGTATAACATGTCCAAATTTCGAGACATTTCGTCGGTAAATAACAGAGAAAAAATTTTGGTGCACCGATAAAGCAGCCTTAATTTTGAAATTATGGTCAAAAAATGATCTAATTTTTTTTTTAAATGTTTTGTTTTGGTTATAATTTAATAAAAAATATATTTTCAGTAGCGTAAAATCTTCACTTTTCCTGGGGGTTCACGCGAAATATTTATTTTTGGTTTTTATACATATACTAATGATATACGCACTCTTTTTGTATAATATTTGATTCACTGTTACTCATTTTTAAGCAGTTTTACAGACATAAAAATAAAATAGATTACAATAAAGAAAAATTTGATTTATAATTCAATATGGTATTTTAGAATTAATTATTTTTAAATTTAGTAAAATAAAAAATATAACACATTACTATAACCCACCAATTATTATAATATGCAAAATTTACTTACTAAACAATATAATAATATGATAATAAGGCACGAATTAGTTCAAATACAAAACACAATCTATATCGACTTCAGACGACTTTATACCGGCAAGACAGAAGACTTAGGTATATAAAAACAAAAGTTCGACAATAATAGCGATTATGAATGGTGACGATTGCAAATTGCAAGTTATGGGATAATAAATATATTGTAAAGTAACTCAATACTGACTGAGTCATCTATTTTATAATAGAAAAATAATATGCTGATATAAGTTGACTTTATCATTATTTATTTTGATTTTGTGTTTAGTTCAGTATATACGTAAAAATTTTGTGTACCTTCATCACCACTTTTTTGTATCTTTTTAAACATCTAAAATATCAAACTCTGGAGTATTAAGTTGATTAACCTGTACCTACGTGTAATAAAAGATAATTAAACATAATTTTGTCATCTCTTTATAATTAGTAGATATAATTAAGTTAGCCAAATTATATAAAAAAAACTTAAAATTAAAAGTCTTTCCTATACAACTACATTCAAATATTGCGTGAAGAAGCGGTCTTGACTACGTCATGCGCGATGCGAACCAATTTTGGAACATTATGTATCATACCTTGTGTTCATTGTACTATGCTTAGTAGCCTTATAGTGGTGAATATAGATGCTCAAAGAGGGTTACCTCTTATGTCCTATAGACCATGTCCTGCGTTTCGAATGTAATTATTCTTAACATTCACAAGGAATCTAAGTTCCTGAAGTTGGCTGTATACCATGTATCACAAAATTTTTTATTAAAAATCCTTTATAAAAGGTATATAATTTAAAAAACCCAATCTGGCTATATCACAAAACGTTTTCGGAATCCATATTCCATCATCAGTATCCTAAAAAATATATAACCACTTAATTAAAAAGAACGTGGAAGTACACTTAAAAAGAAATCACCTTTTATAAAGGATTTCTAATAAAATTCTTAACATTCTTACTTTTTGCTATTTCATCTACGATACGCTCATCATACTGCGATTTAAAATGAGCTACAACGTCCAACAGTTCCGATTTTAGGTAACCTTCTTCCAAATAAATGTCCTTAGAACGCAACCAGTCCTTTATTCCTTTTTATTGTCAGAATTGTTCGGAATTATTTCCAACTTCCTGGAGTGATACAACGCATTGTCCATTACTATTACAGTATAATCGGGAATATTTAAAAAAAAATTGTTTTGTCTCCTTCCAGTTGGGATTTCCTCCCACACCAGTCTTACTGTTCGTTCGTCAGAATGTCTTCTGAGGTGTCCTGCCCATTGGAGTCTTCTGGACTTTATTTCTTTTATGATGTTGGCGTCTGGGTAAAGTTCTTCGAGCTCTTTGTTGGTTCTTATCCTATATTGTCCTGATGCTTCATCCAGCACAGGATCAAAGATCTTCCTTAGGATTTTTCTTTCCCAAACACATAGTCTCTCTTCGTTTGCCTGTGTTATCGTCCACGTTTCGCTTCCATACATCACAACGGGTCGTATGATTGTTTCATAGACCTGCATCTTCGTACGTATTGTTAGTTGTTTCTATTTTATAGGGTTTTGGAGGGCAAAAAGACATCTGTTGCCGGCCTGAATCCTGTTGTTTATTTCTTGTGATTCGTTATTGTCTTCAGTTATTGTTGTTCCAAGATACTTGAATTCTCTAACGCGCTCAAAGTTAAAGTCATCGATGGTGATGTTCTGACCGATTCTGTCTCTGCTTTGGTTATTGCGGCTCATATACATATATTTCGTCTTGTTTTCGTTGATTTGGAGCCCCATCTTTTCTGCTTCCTTCTCGAACCTCACGAAAGTCTCCTTCATCCTTAATCGTGTGTTGCCTATTAGATCGATATCGTCTGCAAATGCCAGTAGTAAGTTTGGTCCTTCTCGATGAAACATTCGGTTTCTGATTATGTGCTCCAGAGCTAAGTTGAAGAGTTGTGGTGAAAGTGCATCTCCCTGTTTTAGTCCATTGTTTATTTCAAATGTCTCCGAGTATTGTTGTCCAACTCTCACCTTACATCGTAACCATTCCATACACATCAGTATGTTACATACACAACCTGACTAGTTTTTTTGGAAAGCCAAGTTACTGCATCGCTGTCCAAAGTCTGTCCCTGCATACTCTATCAAATGCTTGTTTAAAATCTATGAACATCTGGTGAAGCTTACGATCAAACTCCCAGCATTTTTCCATTATCTGTTTTATTGTGAATATCTGGTCAATAGTAGAGCGGCCCGGTCTAAATCCGCATTGATAATCTCCAACGATTTCTTCTGTGTATGTTTTGGTTCTTTCTATCAGGATGTTTGCAAGGATTTTGTAGGTGGTGTTTAGGAGTGTTATTCCCCTGTAGTTAATACATTGCTTTTTGTTTCCTATTTTGTGTATTGGTACCATAACCCCTTCGTTACATTCATCTGGCATTGTTTCAGCTTGTATATAGAACTGTACATCGCTTCTCCACCTGGTGTCTTATTATTTTTAAGTTTTTTAATTGCCTGTATTACTTCTTCGTATGTCGGGTATTGATCTTCTATTTCAGCTGTATGTACCTCTATGTTTGATGTATTTCTGCCCGCTGTCGTTTTGAAGGAAGTTTCCTGTTCTTCCTTGGTACCCGGTCTTTATTTTTGAAATTCCTTTGAAGAACTGTCTCGCTTGTTTGTTCTTTCTTTTTTCTTCTATATCTCTGATTATGTGTTCCTGATACTCCCTCTTCTTCCTTTTCATTAGTTTTCTTGTCTCTGTTATTCTTTGTCTATACATTTCATTGTTGTGCGAGGGGTTTTGTAGCATGTTCCTTCTAGCCATATTTCTTGCTGTTATGGAGTTCATGCAATCATCATCGAACCATTTTTTTGTTGTTTTCTTTTTGTTTCCTAGTATTTCATCTGCTACGCTTGTCAGAGCTAATTTGATATTTTTCCAAGCTGAGTCTATGTTGTTATAGTCTTCTGTCTGTGTTAGAGCGAATTTTATAGCCTTTTGAAATTTCTGTTCTGTCTCCTTATTACGTAGAACTTCGGTATTCCATAATTGTGTTGGTGTATTCTTGTGTGTTTTTTTGGACGTTATTCTTGTCCCTATCTTCGCTTTTACCAGAAAATGATCCGTGTCTCCATCAGCTCCTCTTAGGCTTCTTACGTCTAGACAGTTACTACCCCTCCTGGCATCTACTAGAACATGATCGATCTGATTTCTTGTGACGCCGTCGTTGGAGACCCATGTTTGTTTGTGTATTTTCTTGTGTTCGAACATAGTCGATTTTATAAGTAGTTTGTGGGACGCTACAAAGTCTATTAACCTTGTTCCATTATCGTTGCTGACATCGTGAAGACTATGGTTACCCATTGTTGGTTTGTACGCTGCTTCCTTCCCAAGCTTTGCATTAAAATCTCCTAAGATAATATGCATGTCCTGTTTGGGTAGATTATTTATCAGTTCCTCTAGTTTCTCGTAGAAGTTATCTTTTACATGCTCTTCCTTTTCCTCTGTCGGTGCATGGGCAGCAACTAGGGAATAGTTATGTAGTTGTCCTTTGAGTATGATATAACAGACCGGTTTCTACTGCCACTGAAAAACCAATCTTTTTTAATCTATTTTTTTTATGTAGAAATAACAATTATTGTAGTCATATTTCCTTTTTTCTATCATTTAAATCTTTGTGCATATTTTTAAATCATAACAATATTTACATGATTTTTAGTCGTTAGAACAAAAAGTGATGACAGTTGCTGGAGTTCAAGATAGAGTATATAAAAACGCCGTTTATAAGATTAGTCTAAAGAAAAATGATTACATTTATGTCTCAGCAGAATACGCAACTCCTTTGAAGACTTTTAAAGATGTTTTTGACCATGGAGGTCAACATTCAGGTATATATATATATATATATATATATATATATATATATATATATATATATATATATATATACACTTTATCTAATTTATATAACGATGCACGTCATCGGCGTCATAGCCTGTGACGTCACATGATACCAACAAAATATTTAGAGTGTAGGTGTGTTCTTTTTTAGAATCACTTTACCGAGTACACTGACATTACAGCCACTAGACATATTTTATTATATACGCGTAGGAATCATATTTTAAAATTTCTATTAATGTTAACTTGAAGAAATACACAATAATATGTTTCATTTAATTTGTATAAATGCATTATAAAGCGTTTTTATCAAGAACACTTGTTCGGAACACACTGTAACTGTAATCGAACGAAGGTAAAATTTTGGCATAAATTGGTAACACTTATTTGACAGTTGCGGTGTTGACACTTTTTGTACTTCATTATTTTGAATTTTAAAGTGAATATCTCTTGTTCTATATTTTTAACTATCTAATAAAATCTGTTCTTTTTAGAACAAAATTAGTGTGTTTTATTTCAAAAATGTCACGTAAGAATTTAAATAGTCGTTGTAAAGAGATGGTAATGCTTTTGCAATAATTATGTAATCTATTTGATTTAAAATGGAGTCAGGATTTTTTTATACTTTGGCAACTATGTCAACTTCGATCTCTGACATAGATAATGACGTAAGTCGTTATCTAAATTAGATGAAGTATATATATATATATATATATATATATATATATATATATATATATATATATATATTATGTATATTACCACAGCCACCTTTACTTCCAGTAAGTAAAAGTGGATGTGATATTACTGATTTCTAAAAAAGGAGACTAAAATCACTCTGGCTCTAGAGAGTGGTATAGTCGTTGTATATTTTTTAGGACTACTTAACTTACAAATGTCATTTTTATTGTTTTTTATTATATATCTTACATTTGATGTTTCAGAGTATTACAACAAACATAAGAAGGACATTATTTTACAGTTCTATTTGACGCTTAAACAAGTATTAGAACAAAAAGGACTTAACCAATTTTGTGAACTGATATATTATGAAGGTAAGTTTGGAGAGTTGAATTTGAATTCTTGTTGCAGTTAAATGGGATTTGTATGCATTCTGTGATGAAATTAATCAATTAGCAAAATAATATTAAACGACTTTTTTGTGTTATTTGTTTACAAAAGACAAGAACAATATATTAAAAAAACTGTAAGAAGAAACTAGACGAAAGTAAACTTTACTATGGTACCTTGATATAATCCTCATCATCCCTAATAAATACGTAAATAGAGAGTGAGTTTGAGATTGTTCTGAGACTATTTTCTGGTGTCATGTTCCACACTAAATATTTAGCCTTTTTTAAGTAACCTACAATGGTTATAGTTAATATTAGATACTTTTTATATTGAAATTAATTTTCCATAAGGCGTTGTAGTCAAAAAATACATAATTTTTTAAATGACATTTGTTTTTTTAGATTCTTATCAAAAAGATGGTGTTCCATGCTATTACGATGTCGGAAAAATCATTTACGAGAGAATCAAGGCATTGAAAAAGGAACTGTAATTAAAATAGTTACCAGGAGTAGACTCCTTGAATGTCGTTTTTATTTTCTATGTTGTTTCTTTTTTATATTTTATATATTATAACATAGTTTTAAAGATTGTGAACTGAAAAATCGATCTGGAATGTAACATGTACATTTTTTAAGACAAATAAATTCATTATTTTGTGTTACGCTTGCAGAATTATTGTAAACCTTAGAACATTTCATTCTTATAATAAAAAATAAATAAAATAATTGTTATAAAAACCACGAACCACCAATAATGTTTGTATAAACATAAATATAGATTCAGAGCAGAATACTCAAAATATCTGGATAACTATTATGTATATCATTTTTTATCACTCATATTTTTTCTATATGTCTCTAACTGTACATAGTTATGAGTGTTCTGCAGAGTATTTTATGCGATTTGAGGAAACAGCTTCACCTATAATGTTTACATTAGACCGTTGAATTTCTTTTCTATCTGGAAAATGATATATCTTAGTTATATTGGGTTTGTTATCGCATAACGCTCTTTTACATTGAGCCTTTCTTTTAGGAAGTCAAGTCTTTTCCCATTAATTTGGCGAGAATACAATCGTGATGCTCTTATTTTTCCTAAAATCCTGAGATGATAGCCTTGGCTATTAGGTTAGGTTAGGTACCAAATGCGTCTTTGGTAGCGAGATTGTCTTACTGACTTTCGATAGTGTATTTTCACAGCCATGTAGTGTTTTTTACTGACAAGTTAGAATAAACTTCCAATTGGATCCCGAATTGTTTGCATATTCATCTGGTGGGAGCAACTACCAAGTTAGTGAGATTCTCTCATCAATGGAAGAGTTCAAAATGGCTCGAAAGTATGTTGATCTGTATATTCTTTGGACTCTCAATTGCTTTATTTAGCCTTCGAAAGTCAAAATCATTACAAAACTTAAGAATTTCTTTCTAATACTTAAGACTTAAAGATTGTATTTTTTATGTATTTCATATTATAAGTACACTAAATATACAATGGAGAATATGTCTACAGACATTCCTCGTATCCTACTTTCCAGCGTTTTTAGAAATCTCTCGTTTTTAAATCTCTGGCAGTCATTGCATCTGGGATATCTTCTCTTCACGACTGCTATCCAGGGTCTATCTCGTTTTTTTTTTGGCCATCTATTTTCAGTCATTCTCTGCAGGAGTGTATATCAATTTAATCTTTTGGCTTTAATTTTATGTATTATGTCTATATCAATTGCCATTTCTCTCCGAATATCGTTTCTCACCTTACCAAGTCTAGTGAGTCAGCGAAAGTCTCTTCAATAGGTCATTTCCATAGGTATTTCCCAGTACGGCACCGTACATCCCAATACTTTCTATTATTGTTTTATAAAATCTTATTTTATTTTGTTATTGTATTACTCCACAATGGTCCATGTGACTATCTAGTGGCTGATCTTGATTGGCCAATCCTAGAATGTAATTCTTCTTTACTTCGTGCTTTTGCTGTTATTTGGACTCCCCAAGTATTTGAAGGTTTCAGTTGATTTTATAGTTCCCATTTCAATTTGTAGGCTTTCTGGTTTTTCCTCTGCAATTACGTACTCTGTTTTTTGTATATTAATAGTTAGACCCCATTTGGTGTACTACACTTCCAATTTTCTAAATATATAGTCTTATATTACTCTCATCTACTAGAATGGCTTGTTCATCAGCGAAATGTACCATGTACAATCTTCCGCCTTCGATTGGGATGCCCATATTGCAGTACTTCCTTCTCCAAACTGAGAGCGCCTTGTTCAGATAAATTTGAAGAGTGTAGGGTCTATTTAGCAGCCTTGCTTTAGATCCTTGCTAATCGGAATTTCTCTGTTGAATTTGTTGCTAGTTTTAATGTTTGCCGTCATATTTTTGTTAAGTTTTTTTACTGCTTGTATATGTTGTTGTTTGTTCCTTGTTTTTCCATTGCTACGCAGAGCATTGAAAGTGGTACACTATCGTATGCTTTTTTCAGATCTATAAATGCTATATGAGTTGAAAGTTTGTGGGCCTTTCATCCCAACAATATTTCAATAACAATAAAAATGCTCAAAACTAAACTACAGAAATGTAAAAAAAGTAAAATCAAATTGCAAATATTAGTGATATTGAAAAGCCGGAGAAAATTAATCTAAGTTTAAACCTTAACATAACCTCGGGAGAAGCAAAGAAAATCAGTCTCTCACGCTTGTACTCAGCTTTTAAAATTGTCTGATCCATCAGTTCCTAGCATCTTTTTAATAACGCCGGAAATTGATCTTTAGATACATCAGTAATCTTTGGTTGACGCAATATAAATTTTAAAGATATTCTTAAGTTAAAGTTGATTTCATGTAATCGAATGAACTATCTTATAAGTAAAGTCGTCCCAGGAGCGCAACTCAACAATATTGGCAATATCATTTTAAAGTCGTCTACTTTAAAATGCATAATATATGTCTGAATTGTCAATATAAATGAGTCAGATAAAATTAAATTATTAGAAGAATTTTTCATTATGTATCAAAAAACAAAATTTGTTTAATTTACTCTTTGTATTTTGAGAACGATTTCCGTGGAAGTGGAAATTGAAACGTCAATAAACGTATTTTTATCTTTAATTGTGGCTTATTCCCAGTTAAATAGTAATTAATTTCTCGCTACGTGTCCCAGATATTGTAACTTTCTTATTTTTATTGTGTTTATTATTTCGCATTCTTTGCCCGTTTCTCGCAATACTTCCGTGTTAGCGTTGATTGAATATTCAATCAACGGTGTTAGTTTTCTTCTGTGTCCATGCGATTCTAAGCATAAACAATATTGGCAATATCATTTTAAAGTCGTCTACTTTAAAATGCATAATGTATGTCTGAATTGTCAATATAAATGAGTCAGATAAAATATAAATTAAGTCAAAATCTTTCGCCAAGAGACTTTAATGGGTCTAAAAAACAATACATCCAAATGCCAGCATAAGTTTGTTGGGAATTATTAGGAAGGCACGCAAATTCCGTCCAGTCATCTTGCGTATAATATGGTCTCAAAGTAGTTTGTAAAACAGGTTACCTCCATCCACCTATTTTTTTTTCTGGTTATATCTAACTCTTCGTGTGTCATCACGATTAGTGATCTGCTCTGGGTATTTGGTCCCTCTTCTATATGATTCTATCGTTTCTTTTTTGACACCTACCCGAGCTCTAGTAATGTTAGACCCAAGTTATTCAGACGTTGGCTGACTATGCTTCTCCAATAAAAAGGGTTACCCAGTCGTTACTAGGCGGGGAGTGAATCCCTGCTTCTCGACGCGTTAGTGTTCTGAGCTGTTGGACGTAAATCCCTGTCCTGGCATTTGGTTTTCACCTCTGGCTGCGTTAAGTAGTTGAGTTACTGTGACCAAATGCCCATCTTGGTAGTTAGTATTCGCCTCTGGTTGCGTTGAGTAACTGAGTTACCGTTGCTAACTACCCATCTTCCTGTCTTTTGATTTCTTTTTTCTCCTGAAGAAGCTACATACAATTGTAGCGAAACGTCGAGATGAACCCACTTTTGGGTCACTCACAAATGACACGGTCCAAACCCGGAAGACGAATAAACTGTAATTAAAATAGATATGTTTTCTGAATTATTAAATTTTAACATAGTTTTAAATTTGATGAAAGCAATTTTATTGTTTATTTATTATTCTTTTATTTTATGATTTGTTTACGATCATCACTATGCAAAATTGATTTATTTATTTTAACAATTTTTTGTACATTCGAAAGTACATAAGAATAGATTTTAATAAAATTTTAAAAATTTACGTTTTGTATAACGGACCCTCCTCGTCGCGTAAATGTTATCTTCCAACTATTTCGAGACGCTCGCTTCAGCATTTTACTCTACAGAAAAAGTAATACAACACAACCTGTAGGTAGAAGTCTTGCTTCAACATATAGTTTAGGATACACCTTGTCTACTTTCCTTGTCTAAAGGATACACTTAAGGATTGTTGGTCAAAATTTGAAGAATAAGAGAAAATATACATGCTACTTCATCCTTTAATAAAGAAGGCGTTTCGTATATGAATCCATACACATAATCCTGTTCATCTAAAATTAGTTAAATTTCATAAAAAAAAAATTGCGAAAGGTTTACCTTTCAATTTTGTTGTTTACCTTTAAGAATAGATATTGTTTAACTTATGAAATGTTATTAACAAAAAAACCTAACCTGCGCAACCCATATAAACAAATAATATATTTTTATATTTATTTAAATACAAATAAGATAAAAATTTAATTATTTGCCTGCAATCAGCCACTTTTTAAAATCATTTGCAGTAGAAAGAACTTGGGAATTCTGAAGCAGAAGCAGTACATAACCAAATATTAAACATAACATAACCCCACCCAAATAATTGAGGTTATCAACAAATTTTTTAAATGTTTGTGTGTGAAAGTTGAACAATCTATTCAGCAAAAATGGATGACACAGAAAATGTACAATTACCCAATCAATTACTTACAGCTAAATTCGCAGCAGCCAGAAGTAGGGAAATTCAAGTTATGAATAAAAATATTAATACTTCCTCAGCTGTAAAGCTAGCATTTCAAAAGCTCCCTCAACATATGAGGAGAAGAGCAATGTCACACAATGTTAAGAGGCTGCCAAGACGTTTGCGCGAAATTCATTTAAGTCAAATGATAAAGTCTGGTTTGCCACCTAAGTCTAAACGCCCTACTAGAAAATATAGAAGAAGGCCATGCCAACTGATTAGTGAGTACACACGAAGAACAAGAAAAGTAGCTTGGCTAAATACGCACATTTGGCACGCTAAAAGATTTCACATTATAGAAAAATGGGGATACAAATTACCAAATTGTCCTTGCGATAAAGCTTTTCGAGCCTGCTATAGAGCTACTATGGGTCATTGTTTAATTCAAGATATTTCTTACTATAATTGTGTAGAAATTTCAGGTACATTTGAAGATCTAGTAAGTATCTTTAAAACAATTACTGATGAAAAATGTGGATTGAGTCTAACAGCCAAAGCATATTTAAATGGTTCAAGGGAAGGCAGTTCTATTATATTCAGACCTGACAATCACAAGCCAATAGGATTAATTTATTTTAACTGGAGACCCAAAATTGAGGATAATAAAAGGACAATTTGGTTGTGGTGTCATGCAGCCTTTGATCAAGAGTTAAAAGATATGTTTATTCAACATTTTCAACTTACTGCACTCACTACGACAGGAAGTGAAATATATGGTAGTGAAAGAATGACATTAAGATCTATTAAGAATCTGAGCAGATTTAGATTGACTGGACCACTTTCTAATGCAGTGCTCCATAATGCTTTCAAAATTGCAAAAGAAATTGATTCAAATCCTGAATGGGTAAAAGACTACTTTCAAACAACAAAATCAGAAACTTTTTGTAACTCGCTTGAATATTGGGAGCAATTAAAAACAGCATCGTCACCATCAGAGGTAAATAAATTCAATTTATGTTTTTTAATCCAGTAACTTAAGTCATTTTTCAGATGGAATACTATAAGTACAATAAACGGAAGTCTACATTCTCCTTATTTTAAAAACTGTTTTTATGGTCCATGAAAAATAAATACAATACTTAAGTGTTGAATGTGTTAGCAACATAACTTGACTGAGTGAGCAATATGCTGACTGATTATTAAATTTAACATCAGCCACAAAATACTCTTTTTTCTTCCAAAAAATTCACAAAATGAATTTTGCACTAATGTATGATTTGAATGAAGTTATTTTAGAAAAAAAATCTATAGATGTACTGTTATTATTGTCATTAGTGAGACAATAACAGATATGTGATAAAAGATGAATAACTATTAGATCAAAATAATATAAAATTTAAATACAAAAATACATTAAAGAATTCTTTAGGTCTCACCTCATCTAATTCTACCACTGATAGTAGCTGATCCGAGGTACACATTTCCTAAAAAGAGAACTAAGTCTGAACCTGTTGCAGGCCCTGGTCCCACAGATATCACATTGTGTGGGAATTTTTCAGAAAGTCAGCTTTGGGATACTAACATAAGAGATGAGGCTGAGAAAAAGAAAATTTCCAATGCTATAATAAATGAGCTCAGGCAAAATCTGCTGGTGCCTGGCACAGAATTACCAGAACCACCAGCACTTTTTCCTATTATATTGATCCAAAGGCCTGGAAAAAAGAGTCCAGAAAATAGAGGTAAGGACAAATTAAACAAATAATCTATATTATATCTAAAATTTGAAATCAATATTTATTTTTATGTCACAAATAGTGATTATTATGCTTAGGTATAATGCTAAAAAGTTATTTATATAATATATTACATATTATGTGTTTCTGTATTGTATATAATATAATTATCTTATCTGCAATTTACACCAATGGTGTGGATTTATTTTTTGTATAAATTTGAAAATTGTGAAATAATAATTATACCTATTTGTATGTTATTTAGTGATGATCAAATGCACAATGCATTTAAATAATATTGATTGTGCATCTAGTTTTATAGTAAACAATTTACACTCCAACCACAGGCTGATGCAAATAAAACCCAGAGAAATAAAAAAAAAACTATTTTACAGTGGAACCTCGATTATCTGTCAGGGCACCGGACCAAGGGTATGACGGATAATTGAAAAAACAGTTAACAGAACACTAAAAAAAATTCATAATATAACTCTCAAATTTTAGATTTGTTTTATTTGACAATATATGTTAGTAAAGTCGAATCAATTTGTTTTAAATTATTCCGACATATTTGTTTGTTTTATTGTTACTTCACATTTCTTAATCGATGTAGAATAATCAAATCTACCTTGTTTGCTTTTTTTGCCGAGAATACCAGTTGATGAATTGTCGTATATGCGATGCAGCTCCTCTAGCTTCTTTACGCAATCTATGTAAGTTGTAATAGCATCATCAACATCGTCACCATCAAAGTCTCTGTCAGCTTCTGAAAAAGTTTCATCCGCCTCTGGCGTCATTTCAACGATTTCATCATCTGTCAGCAATCGATAGCCGTTTGCGTCCTCAACACAAATTCGTTCATATCTTTAGGCAACGAAAATAAAACAGTTGATTCAGCCATAACTTCATTTAAGGAGACATTTTCATCTTAAGTTGATTCAGGCCATAATTTATTCCACGCTCTTTTCAACATTACTTCCGAAACATCAGCCCAAGCATTCACAGCATTGTCGACTGTGTGTTTTAAATTGTATGCTTTCAATTATTCTGGCAAAGAATATTACTTTTCCATAACTAGGTTTTGAATAATTTTTTTTTCTGTATCTTCTTTTGAATGTTTTAATGACCGAATGATCTATTGGCTGTATCAATGATGTTGTATTCGCAGGCAGAAAAGAGTATGTGATATTTTTATCGTCACTCCGCAGCATACCGGCTTTAGTATGGGCAGATGCATTGTCCAAAATAAAAATCGTCTTTGGTGGAAAATTTTTTGCAAACAAAATGAATTGATGACTAAATTTTTTACTTTTATTGTCAATATAACTTATGTATGGACCCTGGCGGTTAACAGAGGTGACAGTTAATAGGGAGACGGTTAATCGATGTTCCACTGTTTTTTTATTTTTTATATTGGCTTGATGTTGAAGTACAAATTTTTGACTCCAAAACTAGTTGCACAAATTTGCCATTGTAACCTTTTTAGGCTATGGCAGTGGTTGGGATATAATTCTACCTTCCGCCTGGGCTCAACCAATGTGGATTTCACTCGTAATGTGGGGAGGTAGAGCTGGAGGTTTAAGAGAAACTGATTCAATATTATTCGAGTCTGGCTACCAGCATCATCTACATCCTGATACATTAGCAGGCGAAAAGGAAGAGAATGAAATATCTGCCAAATGTAAAGAGAAATTCTTTAAAATGCCTCTTAATAAAAGAACCAACTTCGCCAAATTTGGAATCTCCAGTCCGCTCGATTGGAATTGGAAGTTATTGTTGACTGAATGGTCACAGAATGGCAAAGTTGTGACAGATTTTTTTGTACTTAGGGACAAAAAAGTTTTAAAAAGTATTCAGGTACAATGTTATATGTATATATACTTTAAAGATCTCATAATTTCACTTATTTTTTCATTATGACTTAAAGAAGTACTATCCCAAATTGTACTATTTAATTTTCTGTTTTTTTTTTTCATTTGATTTAAGGCCAGTGTTTCTATTACATATTTTCTCATCTTTCTTTGAGGTTTCTTAAAGTTTTTATATTGTCTCCCATTTTCTTATTCAAACTCGTTTTTGACCCTGATCAAAATAAAAGAAATAAAATTTTACAAATTATTAATAAAATTTTCGTGGAGATGCCAAGTAATAATTTGAAGCTACTGCAATGAAATTGATCAGTTTTGGAATACTGGTGCAAATTATTGACTGTAATTATAAAAAGGTTTATATTATTGCAAAGACAAAATTTGGAATTGTAGAGAAAAATAATCTTATCAATATATTGTGGTCAGCTTTGTACAAGGCTGATTGTAATACAGACAACATTTTTATATAAAGTGTCTATATTATCCATTTTAGAGTTAACAAAATTTGTAAGAGTGTGTGAAATAAAATCTGTTTTTTGTTTCTCATTTATTAGTATGAAATGCCTTTTTAATGCAGAAAGAAACATTAAGAAAAAGTTACACGAGATTTCTCGATTGATACTGAATAAAATTCGTCCAGTCCTGGGACAATAGACCACTCCTCTTTGTTTCCACTTTATATTCATCATCATTTCTTAATTTTTTTCATGAGTTTCTGCATCCTTCCAATTAAACCATATCGTAGCATTTTAAAAATCTTATCTAGATTTAATATTCCTATTATTTTCTTGCAGGATGTACTAACCAAAAAATCAAAGGAAAAAATTCAGCTAGAAGAAAATTGTTTAGTCCCTGTGCAAATAACATCAATGAAAAGAGGCAATTGTCGATCATTTTCCGTAATTTGTTTACCACACGAAGAAGACTTAGCTAAAGAACCAAAAGAACCTAAATGTAAAGACGTTTATGCAGAAGAAAGGAAGAGTCTCAGGCGAGACCATAAACAGTTGTTAAAGAGATTGAGAAAACGTAGGATAAGAGAGAAGAAAAAGGGAAAGGTAATAATAATACATACATTTTTTATGAATATCATTATTTCATAATTTCTTTGATTTCGTTGAAAAATACTTTTTTGAAACTCCAATTAAAAACAAACAATCAAATGAATTAACAAGCTTGTGTTCCGTTAAATCCATTTTTACTCTATTTACCTGCTTAACTCTCATAACAGCAACAACTTTTTGTGGCTTCTGGACCGTCGTCGGTCATAGTGGGTGTTTCGTATAGATTAAATACTCTTCTTCTATCGGCAAATGCAGAAGTTCTTGAATAAAGGGACTTTGGGTTTTCAAAAAAGATCCACACATTATGTCTATTAAAAGAGGTAGCCCTAGACAAGCTACAGCCTTCTGGCGTTATTAATGAGAGTTGTTTATATCAGTCACGAAAGCCTTGAAACCATTTTAACCCTGTCCTCTCTTGGTTGTGCCATTTTTCGGGTATTTTCTTTTTATGCTTCTTTGTAGATAGCTATTTCGTAGGCAAGTTTAAGACAATCGATAACAGACAACTCATAAAACATTCGGGAGCATCATCATCATAGGTGGCGCGACAATCCGTTGTGGATCTTGACCTGATCACCAAGAAGTCGCCACTTCTGTCGATTCCTGGCAACTTCCCTCCATCTTCTGACCCTTAGAATCTGTAGGTCTTCATCCACATCATCAATCCATCTCCTTCGTGGTTGTCCTCTGCTTCTTGTGCGCTCTGGTTTTGAAAATGTTAATCTTATTCAACTACTGCTTTTTTACAGATCATACCAATAGACCAAGACTTGCTTAAAAACTATACCAACAAGATGAGGAAGTTGTGGCTACCCGAACCAACTATTATTAGAAAATTATGCACACGGGAAGTAATGGGCTTTGTAAAACATGGGGGTTATAGTTTCTTGGCAAGTAAAAGTAAAGCAATAGGATACATAACAGCAGGTGCTCTATCCTCGTTATTGTCGACAAAAAGTATAGATAGAGTTTTAGTAAGGAACACACATTCCAGACAGTACCGTCTTGGGCGGTTAAATGTTATTTGTGAATAAAGTTATATTATGTTGTTTACATTTTTGTATTCTCAGTCCTTTTTCCTTTTCATTTGATGCCCTGTACTTTAAGAATCAATTGAAATTTTGGACAGTGGAACTCTTTCGAGTTTTTTCCAAAATCTACAATTCCCTGTCTCTTATGAACTATTTTGTTAAACAAATTTTATCCCTGTGTAATATTGCTAATCTCAGTATAATTTAAGAGTTTAGCTCAAACTTTGTTTTTTTATATGTTGTTGTTTTATATATTGTCCATGATACACAATTTGGTTTTTTGCAAAGGCCTGGGAACGCGTGAAGCTCTTTTTTCAATTAATATACTGATACAAAGATGCCTTAACGTCAATCAAGATATATACGTGTTTTATTGACTATAATAAAGCATTCGATAAAGTATGACATACAAAGATGATACAGAGCGCATCACACACACGTTTATGTACGGACTGAACTGGTCGCAAAGGGTCCTCGTTGGTTTTCTCAGCAGTAAAATAAGAAAGTACATTAAATATAAGTTGTCTACATCTAAAACACGTCTCGGCATTTTTGGCTTCACTAAACAAATACACTACACTAAACTCTCTCTTAACGGACACCTCTCTTCACCGGCCACCTCTATATGGACGATTTTTAAAACTAAAATCAGTCTGCGGTATATGAAACTGTATGTAAATTTTCGTTACTTTTTAATATCTGTACCGACTCGGTACTTTAACTATCAATAGCCGGTATGTTATACCCGTTACTTTCGGAACTTTTATGAGTAGGATCCTGTGTTCAACAATGAACCACTCAAAATTTAAAATTGTCTATATCAGTTCCCTTTTAACCTAGAAGCACGAAATTGTACCAGTATAAGTAACACATATTAGTAATATATTACACATAATTTGGTTAGCAATAAAAATTAATGTTTTTGAGTTATTATTGTTTTTTTCCTTTAAGTGCCGTTGGTTCATTGTGTCCCACGGGTGGTACACAATGAACTAGTGCTGCGTACGCAGTGAACCAAACTGCTTTATTTTAAACATACCTAATAAAAATTAGGTCTACAGAAACAACAGTAAGATTTCAAAGTTTTATTATATAAAAGCAAAATAATAGGTGAAAAGGACAATAAAATTGAAGATAGGTATAATTTCTATCTGATATTTAATAAAGAAAAAGACACTGTAAACGCAAAATAAGATTGTTGTCGTTTTGTGCTGCCACATAGTTTTGGTCTCGGCAAAATATATTTCACATCTTTCTTGTTGACGGAAGCTATATCAGGAACATTGGGCATAACAAACTGCTCACTATATTTATCCTTAAGTCTTAAAAATGATATGCGATATTCCCCATCTTGTTCTATCTGTAATATCTTCCCCACAAAATATACTATTGACCTTGGTGGATGAAATTCTACCAGGACATAATCTTCTACGTTAGGGTTAAAACCTTGGGTACTAAACAAATTTGGATTTAAAACTGGAAGATCTTGTTCATACTCTCCACTATCACTGTCACTGTCACTCTCAAGGATATCTATTTCATCCTCCTCTGAATCTGTATTATCGTCATTAACAAAACGCACTCTCTTCTTAGCTTGCCTATTTTCATTCATTTGCTTCTTTCTTTTAGCTTCCAACCTTTCTTGTTCAATAATGTTTTTTTCCGGTGTATCTGTGGCAATAATACTTTTTTTACTTTTTCTGTTCTTCCTATTATTTTGACGAGGTTGGGCTTTCAATGCAGGCATAAATTGTTGTGGTGGAATAAATTATGGTCCTGCTTGACTTTCCGTATGTTTGGGGTTTTCTGATTGAATGTTATTAGTTGAAGAACTGTCATTTTCATTTGGCACAGTGATTTCATCGTTATGTTCACCTCCTTGAAGGTCTCTTGTATTATTAGAACTTTCATCATTTGGGCATGGTCTGTTTGTTACCTCACTTGGCAAAAAATCCTCATCTGTAAAGATATCCCGATCAAAGGGATATATACCGCATTTTTTAAAGGCATTGGCTATATTTGTAGGAGTCATGGAACGACTGTGTGCTATTCCAATACATTCAGCTAAATCATAAATAGATATCGGCCTACCAGGATTTCTTAGAAGCCACGACTCTATGGCACTGTTATAATACGTCTTGAACGGCGCATATAAACCAACGTCAAGTGGCTGTAATTTAGCCGATGTGTGGGGATGCAAAGTTACAATATTAACCCCTGCAGCTTTTGCCAAATCTAAGGCTTCGATTGATAAGTGAGATTCATGATTATCGAATATTAAAATTGATGGATTATCATGAGAGCTTCTGCTATGTTTAATGAAATGTTTCATTACCTCTACAAACAACTCCGAATTCATCCATCCTGTCGGCGTAGCAAGGCCTAAAGAGCCAGTGGGGGCGCCTTTTAACATGAAATCCTTATAATTTTTCCGCGGAAAAATTATTGCTGGTGGTAAAGCATAACCACCGGCACATATAAAACAGCACGTTGTTACTAGTGTCCCTTTCTCACCGCTGGTGACTTTACCCAAACACTTTTTCCCTTTTGGTGCCAATATTTTCTGAGTTTTTTGCACCGTTGTGGTTGCAGTTTCATCCAAGTTGTAAATTCTTGTACCGTCAGAAAATGCGGCATTTCGATTTATTACAGCATATAAGTTGTCAAAAAAGCGATTAACATTATCTCTGTTAAATGCTGTCGCACGTGCCAGGCTGCACGGCTCTGGTTTTCTCAGAGACAGATCTGTATGCCTGTTCCTAAAACTTCGGAGCCATTCCCTGCCAGCCATTTCTGCATTCCTCCATGAATCAGGAATTTTGATATTATTCCTTTGAGCCATTTGATATGCAACCTTTCTACATTCGACAGATGTCAATCCATAAAACATAAGTGCACAAGTTTTCAAGTAGGTCTTAAGAGCATCTTCTTGTTCACTTGTGAAAATCATGTTCGTCTCGTAGTTAGGAACAAATCTTATGTTTTCGTTTGGAGCACACTTTCTTTTTTCAACGTATCGCCTTAATGTAGGATATGCTAAATTACTTTCTACTGCTGCTTTTCGAATACTCATACCCCTGGTTACTAAGTCCAATGCTGTCCTCATTTGATCAACAGTATGTGCGCCTTTCTTTCTTTCTATTTTCTTAACGCGACCCATCCTGAAAATAAAAATAAATCTAAAAACTTGGAAGGGTACACAGTGAACCATGATTCATTGTGTCCCAACATAGTTTGGTTCATTGTGTACGTACCGCACCTTATAACAATCAAAGACCAATAAGTCATTATCTACAACAGTGTATTTTAGAGTTATATACCAAAACACTAACTAATGTATCAATGTATCGTACCACAGAGAATAAATTAAAATAATTCACCCATGTAAGAAATAAAACCGAAAATGCTTACCTTGAAAATTTTACTCGATGCCTTCAAATTTTTATAATCCGTTATAACACGTGCACATTTCGTGGTGGCAAAACAATAACTGAGATTTAGTTCTAGGTTATCTAGTACATTCGTACAGTGGTGCCGGCGTTTTTCTAAAATGCGTATTATTAACGAAAGATTGATTGGTTCATTGTGTACGTGTGGTTCATTGTTGAACATATGTTGAACATCCACTCAAAACAAACAAATATTTAAAACTAACAAAGTCAAATATTAGATCTATTAACTGAAATGATTCTAGTTTAGATGTCATACTAACAGTAGATCCTTTTTATTGGAATAATGATTAGATCCATTTACTTCTACTTGCACAGTAAAATATTCGTTGTCGCAATCATGGACGTAATACATACATGGTCGCAATAATCCAAACCATTAGTATATTCGTGGAATCTACTTCGATTCATTCAAACCAAAAAATATTCATAGACAAGGTTATAGTAGATCTAATTTTCACTTTTTTTTCAAACCCATATTCTAACACTTATTAATATTGGGGTTAGTACGTTATTGCACTCATAGCCTCATATTACCTTCTTGCCAGACATATTATGTTCAGACATCTAAACCTGCTACCACATATGTAAATCTGGTGACTGAAATACAAATATTCACACAAGAATTGTCAGACAAATGTATGTGGGAAAAATCAAAACAACAATTTTTCTATTTCACAGTTTTATTCATACTGTTAAATGAATAAATTAAAAAGCAGGTTGTATCATGAGGTTTCTGGGTTTTTCCGGAATGTTTCCTCGACAAATATACAACTTCTTGTAAATGTTCTTAAATTAACTTAAAACACAATTTTAACAGAAAAATTGACATTAAATGGATAGTTTCTCTACTGTTAACACTATATTTATTATATTTTCTTTAGTACGTAACTTTGAAATGACTTTTGACATCAGCTTGCTAAGACGCCATTACTTTGATGGATCTAAATTAACACAATATTCAATATTGCTTTTTATCCACTGTCCATACCAAATATTTTTGCCATTTTTAATTGGTATGAGGATTACTTTGTTTTAAAGAACTATCAGATAATCCTTAATTGCTTCTTGGCATTTATTTTCAGTAAATATATACATATACACAATGACGATACATGTATTGTGAGACCAAGACATAGATTTCTCAAAGAGAGAGCAACTGAAATCCTTGGTCAAGCAAAATAACAACGATTGGTCGAGACAGCATCATATTATATACTAAATGACGAAAAATCTACACTTACTGCGCAAAAGGGGAATATACTCAATTGCTTACGCATGCGTATTTATTAGTTGCCTCAAATCAAAAAGGTACAAGAATAAATAAGATCAAAGAAATGCTTTAGTCGGTCAGATAGCCAATCGGATGAACCGCTTTCACTTTACTGTGAATGAAGTGGTGGATGGTTCAAAACCTGGCCAGAAAACAAAAAGTTTCCAAACCTGTCGCCAAAAAGACTTTTTGCTTGCTTGAGTCAGGTGCCACTATCGCTTTTTGGCATTCACTCTGGAATTAAATAGGTTTTTTCCGTATTGGCTTAAAACTGAAGTAACTGAATATATAAGCGACACTAATGCTGAGTAACTAACGAATGAGTGGCAGCGAAGTATTAAAAATCGGAATAGGGATAGAGAAATACTTCATAATTCGAAACCTATTACTTCACTAATAAATAACCAATTGAACGTCTTAGTTTTAATAAGTCAAAAATCGGGTGGATTTAAAAGATTTAGAGATCAGAATATTTAAATGCTTCAAAATCAAATAACATTAAACCTAAAGTAAGTAGAAATAGAAGGGCTAACATAATATATAATTAAGAATTGGTCACAAAAGAAGTTTGTTACCTATAAGACCTCATAGGTTGCAGTATGGCTATTCACTTACAAGCACATGTATATGTATGTAATAATACTTACACCATAATAAAATTTACGAACATTAAAAATTTGAGGTTGAGTGAGGTTATAATATTAACAATTTCAGTAATACTTTGAGATGATAGTAGACAAACATAACTAAGATATATAAGATATCTTAAGGTGTCAATTTTTCTATAAAAATTGTACTAAATTCACTAAAAGGAAATCTTACACCTACAATATATTGATTATCACGAGGATAGCTTAACTACTTGGAGGGATTTGAGCTATATTTAAGTTAATTTTAGAACACGTTTCAGAATTCGAAAATATATTTTTGAAAACTAATGATTAATTATTAGATTTTGTGTGCTCAATTTTAAAATTTAAGTGAAATATGTTGGTTTTAAGACTTGCAACTGGACTAATATTAAAGGATGGGAACGGAAGGCGAACTTTACCATATACACAACTGACATTTTAAAATCATTTAAGCGATTCAGTTCAATGCTTACAGTATTAAGCAAATTACAATATTTTTTCATCATTATGGATTATCAATTTCTAAAAGCATTGTACTATCTAATTTTAGTCAAAAATAATGTGCACAATTGTAATGGTCTCTTTAGCATTATATATCGTCAAACTGGTGAATTCAATTTAAAAATATTTTCCATTACCAAGCATTTTAAAATATTCATCACATAATATCACTTAAGTAAGCTTAAAGGTCATATATAGAAGAGAAAAAATCTCCTAGCAATTAGGCATTTATAACAATAGGTTCAAAGATTGTATTGGTAATGTCAGTGCATGCCAGAGATTAAACAGCTTCCCTGAAGAAGTAGAGAATTTGCACTAGGAGTCACACACTCACTGAAGAGAAAATGAGTTAAGACCAGGAACATCTATGTACCTGACAGAGCTACTGTGTCTAATAATAACACCTGAAAGTATTTCATTAACTATGGTATTTTCTGCAACAAACATTCACCATGGTTTCATTAAATTAAGGCAGAGTACCTGAAAATCCACCAGAAAAAGTGTTTAACACTCTATTCCAACAAATAGACATGTGTGAACACTGTTTAAAAATATTGCAATGTACACGAGATAATCTGTACATTGCCCTAAGTGATTATGTGACTTTGTCTAAAATTAACGCAATAATTTATGGTCTTCTTATCAATAGACATGTTTTTGTATGAATTAAATAGGTAATAAATAATTTTGTACATTTCAATTGAGGGTTTAATCATATCTAATCATATTTAACAGATACTTTTTATCACTATGTGTATAACATACATTGACCTGTCTTTTTAAATTAAATTCACCCTATTTACCAATATATTTTCGAACCCCCCTTATTGGGAATTGAATAAGAAGTATGTAAGGAACACAAACAGTTTTACAAGGGATGGTCTATTGACTAGGTAGATTTTTGGTTATAAATTGCTTAATGTCATTAAGTTCTTCGTCTGATGAAGAATGTGACAAGCCCCTGTATGATTTGAATTCGACATCTTTAAGCATGTTCTTTAATACAGATGCAGTCATTTGGCCCCACTTGTAAGGGACTACTGGGTCGCAGTCCCCATGGCACTGCAGAATCTGAAAAAATAATTATTTGAAGTGTATAGTATATTACATAAAATATAACATTTATGATATATAAATTAATCTCATTTAGAAAGATGAAGATTTAGAAATCTAGCCATAGACTTACTGGTAAAGTATCTTCTGTCTTCTTAGCTGCTGGGAAAGATTTATTTAAAGGCAACCAACATGAGAGAGCTGCAACCCCAGCAATTTTTTTAGGATACGTAAGAGCAGAGTACAAGGCAAGAGCTCCTCCTTGAGAAAATCCCCCCAAAACAATCCTGTCTACACTGATTCCTGCATTCACTTCAGTTTCAATTAGAGAATGGATTTGTTTTGCTGCAGCTTTAATACCTGTAAAGAAAATTTTTGGTAGGTCATTGCATTAAACTAATCATTGCCCAAAATATTTTAATTAAAGACAATTTATATTCTGTAACACTAAAAATTACCAGAATTGTATAAATTCTCTAAAAAAAAGCATGCAGAAATTTAGAACCTTATTTTAAGGATCAATTTATACCTGGTTCATCTTCAGGTCCGGATTCATCTAGTGATTTTAGATCAAACCAACTTGGCATGCGAAAACCTGCATTCAAAGTTACTTGTATTGCAGGGGCTGTAGGACAAATTACTTTTACATGAGGAGGTCTCACTGCAGCCATAGCACTCGCCCATCCTTGGCTGAAAAATTGTACATTAAAAATATTTTGTATTTTTATAGTTAATGTAATAAGTGTAACGCATTAGATTGGTATTTTAAGAATTATAGTATTTTATTGTTGCGTCAATAAATATTAACAAAGGTCAGGATTAAATTATATGTAATTCATAAAATTAAATTAATTTTTGTTGCTAAAAAATTACACTAACTTTAGTATGGAATAAATGTACAAATCTAAATTAAATTAACTTACCCAGTATCTCCTAATCCATGTAAGAAAATTAACTAAAAACAATATTAATTAATTATAAATTCAATATTAAGAAAATACATGCTTACTGTTCCAGTGTGTTTCGCGGTTGCAGCAATGACTACTGGGGCTGCCATGTTTAAGGTTCTAATACAACTGACCTCTAGTTATCAGTACATTTAAAATTATAGTATTTATAAGAGCAGATCTCTTATCAAAAAAATTGCGAAAAATTGGGTTTTTAAAGCTGTTGAGGTGTCAGAGTGACAACTGATGGACCGGATTTATGTCAATACTAATTCTAGATGAACTAAAACGTCGTTCCCAATTTAGACCACCAGTTTAATATGCATGTATCAAACTTTGCCTATCCATTATTTATATAAATTTAACAATAACATTTTCATTAAAAATATAAAATTAACATTTACAGATATATTTCTATTTAACAATTATTTTTTGTATTTGTGGTCAAATTTTAAACTGTGAAGACATATTTGACGTAAAGAATTAAAATAAATTGACTCTTATAAAATACAAAAAGATCAATATTTCTAGAGTTAATTATACTTAATATGGCACAATTGTTATAACTTTAACCAAAGAATATAGAGCTTTACCTTTTCTATACAGGAAAACAATAAAAGGTAAAGTAAATATACGGTAAAAATTTGTTGCGAACTATCCTATTAGTTTATTATGATGTAATAACTGAAATACATTTTTACGGTATTCAATTTTTGGTGTACAAAATATTGTAAAAATGAAAGTACCTACAACATGGACGTTCTTTATTTATACCAAAGAATATAGACGCTTATAGGCGTCTATATTCTTTGTTTATACGTCCATGACCTACAAAAAAAATAAATATTATCTGTACGTAATCGGAGTATTAGTCATATCGAATACCTAAATCTCACATAGTTCCAAATAATATAAACTGAACTAAATTACAGTGGTCCAGTTATAAATTAAAAGTTTTATATGAATGCATAACTTATACTTAGTTGGTTGATGCAGTGAACCGGTATGGAATTGGTGGTTTACACAACTAAAAATATAAGATAGAATAATAAGAATATTGATGTCTCGGTTTGACTTGACCACCTGATAACCTTTACCAAGCTTTACCGAGTTGCCCACTTTTTTGACCTATTTATAGGATTTTGACTGCTTTCCAACAAATTAAATAATGCATTTCTAGTCAAAATCTATAAAGTAATATTCTGTGCATAACAAAATAACACATTTGCCCCAAAAAATCGATAGACCGAACGCCTCGTGCAGTAAACAACTATCCCACGATAAGAAAAAAATATCGCGATAACTTTTGACGTGATAAACTCAAAAAATCACCACTTGTTATCAACAGAAATTATTTAATTTTGTCTTAGAAATTCTAGTTGATTTCTTGGCATTTGTAAAAGTAGAGTCAGTTGTGGTTGAAGACGTGTAGAGGTAGGATCGTGTGTTGTTAAAACATTGCTCCGCTAGAACGCAAGGCAAAAGAATTTATATACTTCTTTCTAATTAATTATTTAACCACTGATTATCTGTATTGATATAGTGACATCACGATAATAATGTCGACTTCGCGACTATTATCTCCCCTTCATAATTATGGGAAATTTCAGTCCACTGCGTCACTCCGAAGCCAGAAGTCAGCTGTTTGTGTCGGGTCGCGATCAGTGTTAATAAAACAGAATATTAGAAGAATGGCGACACATAAACCAACGTTAACTATCGAAAATTTAAATCCTTGCATCAAGGTAATGGAATATGCGGTCAGAGGACCGTTAGTCACTAGAGCCGGCGAAATCGAAAAAGAATTAGAAAAGGTAAGTGGTATAGTATACACGTTTTTAGAATAGTAGGCATAAATTTCCCCAATGTGATTGTAACATACGTCAAAAAAGTTGTATCCTCTGTAGTAACAAGTGCCTTTTTTAACTGACACCTTGTGCATTCATAAATGTCATAGTTCAGTTTTTTTATAACATTTGTTTACATTCCATAACATTGTTTTTTTTTCCAAGTAATTACTTAAATTACTATTAAATTATAGTTGGATATTGCATATTAGATAGAGATCTAATTCGATTGTATATTTTAATACCTGTTACGATACAGAGAATGTACGTGACTTTTTATACTTGAAAGTTTGCCAGAAATTTACACCGATTTGATTGATACCGATTGATACCATATTAGCTAATATGAAAATTTCTTAAGGGTTTTAACCTTTGCACTTATATTAAAATAAAATAACAATTACTTAACAATAAGCAATTATTGTAGGATAACACTGAAAAATGTAATCATCAATTTTTTTAGCATTAATGGCGATGTATGTTAATATAAAAAAAAAACAAATCTTGTGACTTTCTATCTACAAATTGACCACAATACATAGTAAGATAGTAACAAGTGCCTATTACGAGGCACACATTAACGATAAGTGTAATGAAATTGAATGAGATAAGACTAAGCCTAATAGCTACTTTGTCGTTTGTATTGTATAATTAAAATTTTCAAATATAATGACTGCTTTTTTGTAAATAATCACTGAACCTGTTTTCACGTAATGAGAACAAGTCTGTACACACTCAAGTAAATATTTATATACAGGGAGGGCCACAGAACACTTTCCATCCAGGTTTTGTTTTTATTGATGCAAAAAACACTTAGATCCATCATTTTTATTTTAAAGGGAATATATTTTACAAATAAATCATTCTCAAATGTGTGAGAAGTGAAGTATTTTGATATAACATTTTAAAGTTTTTGAAAAATTCAGTTAAATATTTAGATTATCAAATGTACCTACATACTTCATTAAGTTTATTTTATTTATTATGTATGTGTGTTTTTTTATCATAATGTCTGTAGCCCAAGTGTCCATTCAATCTTCTTGATGTTCGAAATGATCTCCACCAACCTGCATGCAGCAATACAGACATTGTTCTAAGTGTTCTCTAACATTGTGGAGCATTTCGGGAGTAATATTGTTATATTTGTGCACATTGCCTTGCTGCAACTTTTGTACAGATTCAAGATAAATGTGTTGTATACATTTTTGTCTTTAAACAATCCACAAAGAAAGTCCAATAGGTACAAATCTGCTGAAAGTGCAGGCTATTCAGTAGTTTCCCTCCTTCTGATCGATTCTTGAACTTTCTCATTTAAAAATTGTCTCGCAGGTACAGCGAAATGCGCGGAGTTCCAATTTGTTAAAAAATTAAGTTTTGTTTAGGATTATGTTTGTCTTGTTCAATTATGACTTTTAAAGCGAGATTAATGGCATTTCAAAGTTTCAGGTAAAAAGAATGGTCTTTAAAATTCCTGCCCAAACGTTGAGTGTGTTTATTTATGTTATGAAATATTTTCAGATTGTTGGTCAACCAATAAAGGCAGTTATGATGTAAACTTCCCCATTTAGGTAAAAGAGCACTCATCAGAAAAACAAATATTAAAAACATAATTAGGATTGCCAATCATTTTGTAATGTGGTTTGTAAGAGTGAAATTAAAATTACTTTTATGAGTGTGAAATTTGTGTTCTTTTCATTTTCTTCAAAAGGTCGTCTGTTAGACATCTGAAACATCTGACAATTTTCTTGTACTAAAGGTAGGTTCCATTACAATGTGGCCCAAACAGCCACTGTAAGTATTTTATTCCTTGCTGAATTTTCAATTATCCCATTTTTGTTTGCCACAGATCCAGTTTTATGAAATATTCTTACTAGTTCGCCTACAAGTATAAAACTCGTAGCTATTACGATGTAGTTCATTAAATACATTTACAGCGTCTTTAACACTTTGAATAGTGTACACTATTTTGATCATAAACGACAGATGCGTTTATTTACATTTATTACTGATTTCTTTCTCTTGTTTTTTATTAATAATTCGACACTGTGTCTGTGCTGTGGATCGTTGTTTGTAATCCCAAGTAGTAGAACGTTCTGGTCTTCTTGTTGACATATTCTGTCTCCGGGCCATCCTGTTTCAAAGATTCCTAAAATATCAATATTCAGTTTCATTTCCCTTATGGCATTATTCAGTTGTACTCCTGACATGGAGCACTGATGTGATTCATTAAGCCTAAAAGAGAGGCTGCCACTGTGCCATTGACGTCAAACCGAATATCTTCTATGCCGTCCCCTCCATAGCGGTCTTTAGTCATATCCCTGTGCAGAGTTCTGTGTTATAACCCTCAAAACTGAGTCCCAATCTTAACTTAGCTATCTATTCACTCCAGCCTTATGAAGTAATAGATGCTCATCCCCGTGACTTGGACGCGCTAGATTAGAATCATCTACATGGGTAAGAGAGAAGGTGACTGTGCCCTGAGAGCCATAGCTAAAATTGGCACTCTGTAATTTCTGCTTTATGATTTTTGGTGTTCTACATTGCATTTATCTACTACCTAGATAATCCGCCATCATTTAGTCTAACTACGTGACTAACCAATTGAAGTGTTTGCAGTCCAGCAAATTCAAAGAGGTGTTTCTTTGAATAGTTGCTAAAGCTCAAGTGTCCAAAGATCTTCATAATATTTCTTTCAAAAAGTACTAAATTTTTGCGTTTTCTGTTATCGCTGTCTTGCCTCCATAACATATTATTGCTCTAATAATGATTTGTAGATCTTAAACTTTAATTTCCATTGTACGATTTTGAAAAAGAATAGGTATATCAGTCATAGAGAAATTTGTTTTCTTTGTTACCCATTATCCATTATAATTATTATTATTTTTTTTAATTTCGCGTTTTTCTGTTATTTCTAACTCGATTCCTAGATTATTTTGTGCTGTTATCTCAAATAAATATTACTTAATATCAGCTCAGTATATTAAAATAATTACAAATATTAATTCCTTTCAGCTCACAAGTTAGTTGTTCTTTGGACTTTAAACTGACATCTAAATATTATTAATAAACAAATTTTAAATAACCTCGATTACATTTAAAAGAAATTTATTCGCACGTACACATAAATACATACCAACATATTTATTTTGACAATAGTCAAAAAACTGAATCAAACCAGTTATTAGAGGTGGGTCGCCGTTCAAATTCGATGTCTACTACAGTGTCACTGTTACATCTCTGTCACAGTTACCGCGCACTACTATTAAGCATGATGCTATGATTAACAAGATAGGATCTTCCCATCCAGTAAGAATCTATGGAGAAGCTATGAGCATATTAAGGTATGTATTAAAAACGGCATAGGTAGGAGTGGCTAACGATAATACCAATATGGCGGTGACATCAGGGCCAGACTCAATAATAATAAAACTACTATACAAATATGACTAGTTATTCAGAAGATTTAATCATAATCTAAAAAAGTGCAATACATTTTTAATAAACTATGATTTATTTATCCCGCGGTAAACACTAAAAACACGATATATTATACATAAAGGTAAATTAATACAGTCAAATACTATTAATTTATTCTCTGAAGTACGGGCCATTACTTTGTTTACATATTTGTATACTAACCTGTGGAACGATATTCCTGAAGATTTTTTATTAACATTACTTCCGCTACTGCAACTACGTTGAGAACAAGAAACCATTATTATGCACTATCACAATATATTACAGTTTCTATAAAAGTATTATAAAACTGAAAATATTCGAAAAACAACAAATATAACCAAACATATACGATCTGTCAAAAGTTTCAAAACAATAATACCAATATGGCCTAAGTTAGGTCGTTTTTAGCACGGTTCCTAGACTTACTACGGTTGCCTCTTCCGCCTAACCAATGAACGTTAAGCCGGATTGTACTCCTGTGACGTAATTTGAATCTTAACATTCAGCCCTGTGATTGGATGGATGTATGAAAACAAAAATGTTTTATAAATAAAGTAGGTTGATTTCATATTTCATGTAATCAAATGAACTATTTTACAATAAAGCCAAGTTAAAGTTATTTATTTATGTTAATATACAATAAAGTACTTACATATGTCAAAAAATAGTATAAAATAAAAATTAACATATTAAAAACATAAGGTATAATAATGCATATATACGTTAAGGCAAACATTACACAGAATATTATATTCTGGGTTCCCAGGTATACACAAAATAGGATTCATCGTCATCAATACACAAGCCAGTTCGAAACATTAAAGTTAAAATTTAGGAATTCATCACTTGAAAACTGCTTCCCTTTCAACCAATGGACTCTTTGCTTCACCACAATACTCAAAGATATCATTAAGGTTAATTTCCATTATTAAATGATACAAATAACTTGTCTTAAACCAAACTAAACACGGAAAAGCAATGGTAAATATTCGAATGTTATATTTGTTTTTGTTTATACCATTTATATCGGCCATGACACTGCAATCGACCTGCCCTCTTCATTCAGTTTCAATCGCGAATAAATGGGTTTTGTATTCTTGTGTACTCCTGTGACGTAACTCAAGCATCCCCACCCCAGTCGGAAGAGGCAACCGTAGTAAGTCTACGAACCGTGGTTTTTAGTCACGTGATGCCCTCTCCATAGATTCTAACTCGATGGATCTTCCCGTAACATAAAATCGGTCGTGTTCGCGCATGCCGTCATTGGAGAGCAGAATTTGAATTCTGCTGTTAGAAGTTAAGAGGTTTGATAATTAAAATAATCGCACACATAAGGACATCTTCAAACTATTTATTAAATATTATTTATTGATACATACAAAAAACTCCTTTCGAACGTGCAACTCTTCAATGACGTCACGACTTATGCGCAATATCTCATCTTCTTAGTCATAGTATCATGCTATTAAGTACTTAGGTAGTTATAGTTTCGAATAAATTTCGATATG